GGCCAATCTACCTCCTACTGTCATCCTATAAGTAAATAGATTATATTGCCATTTTTTGAGATAAGCTTGCGGGCTTCCATGTCGGCATATTTGTAGGCTCGGAAAACACATTTGGCCGTGTCGTGTAGTATGTAATTTTCGCATCCCAGGTGTGTGTATAGGTAGAGAAGAAGAAGGCACTTTTATCATCGGAATCATAGTTGTATTACTCTGAATTTTCGAAGTCTTAGTGGAGCCCAGCGTCAGAGATAAAAGCCTTAACGAAAAACATGCAAAAGTTATAGGAGACAGGGGCCAATCAACTACAAGTGACTTCAGCCCGGAGGTAGCTGCGCAGGGCAATGTATGTCGGCGCCAGGTTGATAAGTCGATTGACTGAGTTATCATCCGGGGCGGCCCGGGCTTCAATCAATTCTCGGCCTGTCTTGTCGGCTTTTTTAATTTACCTCACAGTTGCGAGACGGGTCACAGGTTTAACGTCGCAGCTACGAGGATAATCGTCCACGCCGACAACAAGACCGGCCGAGAATTGATTGAAGCCTGGGCCGCCTCGTATGAGAACTCAGTCAATCGACTTATCAATCTGGCGCCGACATACATTGCCCTGCGTAGCTACCTCCAGGCTGACGTCACTTGTAGTTGATTGGCCCCTGTATCCTATTACTTTCGCTTGTGTTCCACTAACGATTTATTTCTGATGATGGACTCCAGTAAGAGTTCGAAAACTCAGACAAATGAAACTATGATCGAGGTGCCTTCTACTTTACTTATGTTGATTCTGTCTGTATGCACGCTGAGTAAACAGGGCAGATCCTAGCCCCTTTGCATGCCTTTCATTTCGATCAATTTGGCCTTTGGACTGTTGATATTCGCACTGACCCACTCCTTCATCACTGCTATCGGCATAGTTGATTAGGTGGCAGGTGCAAGTTTGTCTTATGTGTCCTTATTGCTGTGTTTTTTTTATTGTTAGTTTAAACAGCTTCCAGAGAGCCTGTGCTCCTTCATCCAGTCTGTCACCAAGAACCTCACCTCCAACCCCCAAAACATCCAAGAGGGGGCGCCAACTCCCCACCTACCTGATCCCGCTGCTCCCTGCGTACCCTTCTGGCCGGAGGATGCTCCAGTTGTTGGCGGTGGTGGTGGTGGTGGCAACCCATTTCTGTACAGTCAGCAG